GGCCACCCACATGATCCGGGGACAACATGAGAGACTGCGGGACCTGAACCTGTTCAGCCTTCACAAGCGAAGGCTGAGAGGGGACCTGGTGACCATCTATAAACTCACTAGGGTGGACCAGAAGCGTTTGGGAGAGACCTTCTTTCCCTTTGTGCCCCCTGGCATAACAAGGAATAACGGCCATAAGTAGTTGGAGAGTAGGTTTAGATTAGACATCTAAAGAACTACTTCACAGTTAGGGTGGCTAGGAGCTGGAACCAACTTCCAAAGGAAGTGGTGCTGGCTCCTACCCTGGGGTTCTTTAAGAAGAGGCTTGATGCCTACCTGGCTAGAGTCATTTGAGCCCAGCTTTTCTCCTGCCCAGGCAGGGGGTCAGACTTGAAGATCTACAAGGTCCCTTCTGCCCCTACTTCTATGATTCTATGACCTTCTTCTGAAGTGGCCATAGTAAAGAAGAGTGATGTTAAGCTAGTGTTCAGTTTGCCATTAAAACACAGCTAGTCAGTAAGCTTACAATTCTCCCAAAGGGAGTGAGTGACAGACTCATGCTAATGAGACTGTCTCCTTGTCTGGGAAAAGATGTGCAACTATCATCAGTGCCTATGCACCCATTATGACCAACCCACATGTGATTAAGGACAAATTCTACAAAGATCTGGAGTCTCGTATTGCAGAAGTGCCAAAGGCAGACAAGCTTATTATCCTTGGTGACTTTAATGCTATGTTGGCGTAGATTACCAGGCATGACCAGACATCATTGGAAAAATATGGCCTTGGGAAATACAACAGGAACAGGCTCCTCCTGCTGAAGAAATGAGCCAACACAACCTCCTCATCACCAGCACAGAATTCCACCAACCAAACCACAACAAGATGTCTTGGCTGCATCTGTACTCCAAGCACTAATATCTCCTCGATAACATCATTATCAGAAGATGAGACAGATGGGATATCAGAGTGGCAAAGGCCATGAGAAGTGCAGCACAAGCTCATAGTCTCTAAGCTGAATATCTGGATAGTAGGGCTGTGCGAAATTTCACCGGGTGTTTCATTTCGAAACTGTTTCAATGCATTTGGAGTTCGAAACAGTGAAATTGAAATGAAACAAAAACCTTTGAAACAGCTTCAAAACAAAACTGAAGCACTTGAAACATTTTGACAGTTTCAAAATGTTTCAACTTTCAAAGCGGGGCTTACTTGGCTTCAGCACCAGTCCCAGCCATCAGCAGCAGCCTCCTGTCATCTGGAGCTGATCCAGATGCCACACCCCTCAGGAAGATTCTGGCACAACCTCCAGCCCTCCCGGGGGTGCAGTCCCTTGGATCTGCATGCCGGATGACAGCATGCTGTAGCTGCCACCTGGGGCCAGCAGAAGCACCAATCTTCCCGGTGCAGGATGTGGGCTGCGCCCAGCACTGATCCCAGCCTCCTGTCATCTGGCAGGCAGATCAGGTGCCCGCCCACACCCCCTGCTACCAGTCCTGCCGATCGGGGGGATGGTCCTCCTGCAGCTGATTCTGCCAACCAAGGGTTGCAGTCCCCCTACCGCTCTTCTCACTGCTCGGGAAAACCCCTGGGATGGCAGATCGCTGCAACTGATTGCTGCCTCTGCTTTGGGAGTGGTTGAGGCCACTTTTGGGAGTGGCAGCAGTGATTAGCCGGCGCTTGCAGGGGGGGCACCAATGCTCCCGCCTGCCCCTCCTGCTCATTGCCTAAGCGGCAAGCGCAGCCAGTCAAGGGGTGCACCAGCATTCTCAGGGGGTGCACATGCAGCCCTGTGCCCCCCCAAGTGTTGCCACTGGATGAAATCATAGGTGAGATAGGCAGGCCATGTTACCAAAATATCAGATAAGCGACTACCAAAGAAGACCTTTTACGGTGAGCTAAGGCCAAAAGAGACACTTCAAGGAGTCCATCAAGTTATCCTTGAAAGATTTCAGCATTGACCCGAAGTCTTGGGAAGGTCTTGTTCATGATTGTTCCAGCTGGTGAAGCCTCATCCATACTGGAGCTACTGTCTTTCAGTAGAGAAGAACTGGTGAGGCAGCGCACAAACAGCTAAGGAGCACAAGCAGCATAAATCTCACAACAGTAACATGCCCACTGTTGATCAAGCAACCCAAAGTGGCATCTCTTGCTCAGTGTGCCATAGACAGTTCAAAGCACAAATTGGCCTGATCAACCATTCACATGTTCACAGAAACCAGCAACCAGCAACATCATGGTCATCTTTGAATTTGAAGGATGAACAACAATATCAAAAGAGATTTGATATATACAGTCACCTGTTTAGCTGCTGAATCTTCCAGGCATACTCTTAGGGAAGTGAGAATAATAGTCTATAACAGTGGTTTTCAACCTTTGTTCATTTGCAGACCCTTTTTGGAAATTTTGAATGGAGGTGCAGACCCCTTTGAATTGTAAGTGTGGGTATTCACATACTTTTGATTGATTATAGTCATCTTTCATGGACCCCTTAGACATAGTCTTCAGACCCCCACAGGTTCTCAGACCACAAGTTGAAAACCACTGCTCTGTGACAAGCATATTATTCAATTTCAGCTAGTATAAGTAAATCGGTGCCTGCTTTGCTCCAAGGGCTGTTTTTTCCTTCGACTAATATAGGTTCTTCTGCCTGCTTTGGCCTGTATTTTTGGAATATGAAACAAATATTAAATGACTTAATGTTCAGTGAAGACATTAAATGTGTCTAGTCCTTGTCTGAGATTTTTCAATGCCTAAATGACATTAATGCATACTTCAAATATATTTTTCTCTCACATCATAGGAATCATCCCCTTGGTTCCCTTAATAAAATCCCATTTGGTACTGAGAGCTCGCCTCTTAAATTGATTCATGGGGCCTGGGATTATGCTGGCCTGGCCACCCTGAAATAATGGCTGTAATTACTTTCTTCAGGGTCTCAATCTCAGTAGAAGTTTTGGCAATATCAGTTTTTACCAGATTGATGCATACAAAATCTAGCTCCAGCCTTTGTTCCCTTGTACTCCAGTCAAACCTCTAGGGAATATATCTGTAATCACCAGACCTACGCATTGGGTGAACTGATAGGTCTGACAGCCACAGTAAGTGTGAACTTGTTTCAACTATATTTACTGTATTTCAGCCTGATACATAATCAAAGCAGGACCATCTGCACCTATATAATCCCAGCCAGGGCTTTGTCTACCGGTGCCTTAAAAACCTTCAAGGATGGAGATTCCACAATCTTTTGTTGTGGAGGAAGTAGAGGAGTAGACAGAAAAATAATTATAGTAGACATGGGGCCTTGCAATGTAAGATTGTACTCCTTAAATTTAGATATGAGAAACAGCTTCCTTAAGCCGCTTAACAAGAAAGGAAGAGATTGCTTCATGGTCTTCAGCTCTGACTAGTTGAAATATTGTAACTATGAATTTTTATTTTGTATTTTCAGAAAAATGGCATATCAAATGGAAGTCTCTACAAACAGCCATTTACTGAACACTTTGAACAAGCACCAATGTATGTTGCTGTTTTTACTTATGTGGGTTTCACCGTGGGAACGATATTTGGCTACCTGAAGGATTTTCTGAGAGCGTGTGGACTACAAAAATGTCCCCTTGGTACAGAAAGGGAAGAACAAAAAGTACGTATGAGAAGGTGTATTTTAACAGGCATATCATACATGCTTTCCTTTGGTATATCATGGTTTCCAAAATCATATGTGACGGATTCATGTTTCATTACTCCGCTACCGTTGCACACAATGATACTGTATAGAGGTTTTACATAAAACTCCTGCCTACCTAGGTTGACACTGCAGGAGATTTCACTGGGAATCCTATTTCCCGAGCTGGTAATGTTCATTCAAGTTGCTCTGGTAAAATTCTCAGTCTGAGTTCTGCTTTAAATGCATCTACATAAGCATTGGATAGACAAGCCCATGTAGCCTGAATGGTCTCAAGCAACTGTACAATATTAATTCATGCCTGACTGCTTGGGACACAGAAATGCCCTGTTTCCATATTCACCTGTCCTTACATGTTTCCATACCCTTGTAGGTAGAAAAGCCTACCATCCCAACAAAGATCCAAGAAGGATAAAAATCAGATCCAATCACGTTACTGAAATCCCTGATCCCTACCTCTCAGAACCACTCTGGTGTTCTCTTTGATAGATATGCCTGCCTAAGACTTATGAACCCAAGTAACCTGTGGCTGAATGTGTCAATGTACTATCAGCCAAGATAAATCTCTGCATTCTGATCCGTCTCTCAGAAAAAGAAAAGAAAACCATATATCCCTTATTTTTTCAAACCCACAGATTTTTTATTCCCCCATCTCTCCTTTAAAACACATGCACACACTCCATGTGCAGAGCTGATGACTCATTGATTGCTGATCTCCTTTGCAGGTGGTTAACTGCTTGACAAGGATGCCCTTATTTGGTTCTACTTTATATTTGGGAGGAACACACATCCTGGGTCCTGTCTCCTCTTCTGTCTGCCACAATTTTACCTGTAGCATCACTGTTGCGGTGATTAAACTATCCCTTTCCTCTTCCAGAAACTATCACTCTTCAAACACCAGCACTGCTCCATGTGATTACACTGAACCATACTAAGGTGATTGGCAAAATTCTTGCCTAGTATGTAGCTTCTGCTAGACCTGCTTCTAACAATCTGAGCAGCTTTCATCTATGTGCTTACATGTGCATAAAATTGCAAGTAAATTCCATTCTTCAGCTGTCCTCACCACAAAAGTAAAGGCAAAAGACTGGCTGTGTACATTCTTGGACTGGTGGTAGCAGCTTTAACTTTCCAAACCTTGTGAATGATCAGGGCTAGAAATAAGTGAAGAATATTGATGTTCCAATGAGACACCCTAAAGTTGCTTCTTGTCCTGATAGAACCCAGACATTATCCCCTACAACTATGACATCATATACAGAAGCATCATTTTATATTGTTTAAACAAAATTCTGAAAGTGACTAGTTGGGTAATTTTCTCTTTTTCCTGGGTCAACAGTTTGACTCATGATTTACCAAACCGCCTGGAATTAGAGGAGGAAAGAAAGGGGACAAAATTCTGTATTCTAAAATAGCTTTTCTGCCTTTTTTTTCTCTATGTGTTTTGAAAGTAACACATGCAACACAATAATGTAGCATGGCACACTATAAAGCAGTAGCATAAGTAGGGCAGGACAAGGGGTGGAAGCACCAGTCCCAGGCACTGACTATGAGGGGGTGCCAGAATCCCCCCATGAGTTTTACCACAAGAACAGTAGCCCTGCACTGCCCTACCCAGCTGTAGGAACCAGGCAATGCAGCTGGTAACAGTAGGTAAGTGGGTCAAATGGATTGGTGCTCCCCCACCCCACAATGGGGAGCTTGCCAGAGCAGGCACAGCCCTGCACCCAATATGTAATGTCAGGGAAGGGGGCAGGGAAAAAATGAGACAGCAGTGTCACCTCCCAGGGAGCCTGGCCACAGAGTTGCTATTGTGGAGCTGATAATCCTGTAGCATCAGCAGTGGCATCAGTACCCCAGGCAAGTAAGACTTCCCTTCCCCTCACCCATTCCCTCTCAGCCTGGGTCTACAGTGGTGAACATATCTTTGCCCTAGCCCCCACACCAGGCATTCAATGAGATGGCTACACCTCTGTTATAAAGGATTGGTTGGCACATTTTTGGCCTCCCTTGTATAATTCATCCCATGATCTGACCACTCATGAATCTGATGTACACAAACATGCCAGTAAAATCTTTTTACCACAACACACCGCCAGGTGTTCTGCAAATTCTCTTATTTTATATGCATGTCCTTGCTAGCTAGTATAATGCTACAATCATGCAGAGTCTTTTGCTTTGATCCTATGCCTGTCTTTCTGTTCTGTTTCAGTAAAATCCCTGGTCCCTACTTAGTTGTCAACCAAACTCAGTGTTGAAATGGCATGGATTAACTAAGATGGAGACTTCAAGTCTAGGCTGGAAATGCCTCCCCAAATCAATATTTAGGTTGAATCTAATGAACCACTTTTATACATTACGATGGGCTTTTTATCCCATCTTTGCTAGCTACCCTGCAAAGATGGGAAGTTCTCTATATCAGAAATGTCATGGGTACGAGCAACATGATGGCTTCTCGTTATGACCTTTCAGAATATTAGACCATGTAAATATTAAGTCCTTTTGTGCACTCTCTGCTTCTTACCAGGCAGAAATAAATGGACTACACATGGGGGAATCCAAGTAATTAGGCAAAATGTGAGTGTCATACATAGCACAGGGATATTAGGTTTTCTTTACCCCTTGTTTCCTAATGAATTCCTTTCTAATTTAAATTGAATAAGGACCATGAACTTTATTAGAAATGTAACTCTATGAGTATTTTCAAACCAGGATTTTGTGCCACTTTATCAAGACTTTGAGAACTTCTACACAAGAAATCTCTACATAAGAATACGAGATAACTGGAACCGTCCCATCTGCAGTGTCCCAGGCCCACAGTTTGACCTGATGGAACGTGTTACAGATGACAACAACTGGACATTTAGGTAGGTCAGGCTTAAGGCAGTAGATGCTGCTTTCATAAAAATGATTTGTAGTGCCACCCTCAAGGGAAAACAATAATATTGAGCACGTGATACTAGAATTTCCACCACTGTGCTCTCTAAAACCTCAGCGGAGGCAAGAAAACACCAACAGCGCACATAAGCCCTGTTCTAAACACGGGTTGGACAAACAGTATGGAAGGGGGCTGAACTGTACTGCAAATGGCTTCTAAAAAAATGTTTAGACACAGGGAAAATCCTAAAGGAGTATTTTGATGCCACTTCTTACTCAGCTTGGATTTCTGCATGATCAGACAAATACTGGTATAACCCAGTTTATTTTAAACCTTTCCTATGATTGGTTACAAACCTGCCTTGCTTACATATGTAAAAGTGGCCTCTGATTTACAATCATCCATATAAGAAACTTTTAGTATTTATATTTATGTAGCTTGGAATCAGATTTGCTGCAGCCTAACATTATTGTCTTAAGTAGAGATATGAATTAATTACAGTGCAAGTGCATCTGGTTTCTGTTTACACATAGCTCTACGTAGACATTGCAGTTGATATGGGTCTGATTGTTCTAGGGGTTGATCTAGGTCAAAACTAGAGTGGCCCAGTCATTTGAACGTGTTGCCTTTCCAAGTTGCATTGCTGCTCCCAGGCAGCAAGTGGCTGCGGAGATCCCTCTGGCCAGGCAATGACCCACAAAAACTTTAGAGATGCACACTGCAATGCCCCAGGGAAACTTTATTCCACATACTTCAGCGTGACATGAAGCAAGACAGTAAACTGTACATCTGTAGGTTTGCAAAACAAAACATTTTCCCTTGGGACAAATACAACATCTATTTTCAGCCTATTGGTAACAAAATATTTTGAAGAAGATATCGGATGAAGTTATGGATGAGTGTTATAGTTAATGTTTCAAATTATTAAGATTGCATTATACAGCCTTTCTAGTCATTTTCCCAGTGATTGATGCATTGCTGTTCCTCTGATATTGGCCTCTCTTAACATCTCTTCATGTAAACCAAGCCAGTGACTGTCCATGAAGGAATTCATAAGGAGATAAGAATAGGATGTTTTCTCATCTGAAACAGCTAAAGAATTTTACAAACATGTTGTATGTACAGAAATTGCTTAACCCAGTACTGATATGCAGTCACCAATTAGATGGAATATGACAATTGTTCTGTGCAAGCTACAAGGTTTACCCACAAAAAAGGAAATAAAAGTTACAATGGGCATATTAAGTTTATAGAATGTAATAGGAAGGGGACTAATTTTAGTGGGTAAAATACATTTTCCTTCTTCAAAATTTGTTTTAATCATAGGTTTACTGGAAGAACTATCAAGAATGTAATCAATATGGGCTCTTATAACTACCTCGGCTTTGCAGAAACAGATGCCGATGCTTTGAAAACAGTGGCAGATGATTTACAGAGATATGGGACAGGAGTATGCAGTACCAGACAAGAAATGGGTAAGCAGAGCAAACTGCAACATTTCTGCCAAGATTTCTATTGTTATGTGGTTTGTTTTACAGATGTCTTGAAGGAACTGAATCTTTGTAAGGTTCTATGCTGCCTGATGCTTAGTTGCTTGACAATTAAAGTGAGCATTAATTACCTTATACATTTTTTTCAAAAAATAGGAAAAGAATCCGAATGTGCTTTGGAAAAGTGTAAGAGAAGTGAACACTCCCAGCCACCCATTACAGCTTTTCATTGTTTATAAAGAAAAGCATGAGTGAGCAAACAGCCAACAGGACTTAGAGAATTTTTCTTGTCAAGGAGAGCAAACTGCAGAATATTTATTCTCAGACTGCACCTTAGATCTCTGCTGCTCACCCATTCAGTGACATGAATGTTTTAACCTAAAATATAGTGCAGGGTGTCATGAGAAATGTACACGCAACAATGATCATTATGACACAAAATGTCCAGTTTCCTTGTTAAAAAAAAGAGGAGTGGGGGGATCCTGTGGAAGACTTCCCTAGCTTTCTTATCAAAATGTCTTTTCAGAATATGCTGCTTATTGTGTTTGTACACTGCATTTGTTGCTATTTCCAGTTATGTACAATATACCAGTTTAAAGCTGCGCTTATAATAATCCAAGCAGGCTCAAGTTCAAAGGCAGTAGCCTTCAGCCATGGAAATTACATTTTCTACTTTCCAGCTTTAGCTGAGCTGGTGACAGTTAAGGCAAAGGAGACAATCTTTCCCAGTCTATGAATGCAATAACATTCTTTAGTGAAAGTCTATCAAGATAGTGTCAGGTGGTTTTCATCTGTTTTGCTACTGGCATGTCCATTGTGACATACCTCAACTCCAAAACTAATATTAAATGTTATTTTTATTTTCTATATGGGCAACTCCTTCAATATGCTTTCAGTTAGAAGCAAAATTACTGAGAAAGAAAACCTTCTATTTGTAATATGTCCATGTTACTGCCAGACTGCCTGGGTTCTCCCTGTAGCTGTCCACAAGTGCTCTGAACTAAAGATTTCTTTAAGCAGTAATCTGCAAATGAAATGGAAAATCTAGTCATCATTCATTCCTTCCGTTTCAAATTCTCAAGTCCTTATATGTCTAGTCTGTCCTGCAGGTTGTCATTTACCTAAATGCCTAAAGCTTTAGCAAAGCAGATAGATGGAATATATTGCCATTGATCATTTGTTAAAAACAGAGATGCATAACTACTTTGCTCCACATCATGTTATTTTCCAGTTAACAAGACAGCAACAGACCCAAAGGCACTATTGCCCAATGTTTGGGGGGTTGGAGGTTACACTATAAATAAATCTTTTTTTTTTTTTTGTATAAGTGCCAGTCAAAAAAGATGAATTAGTACCTGAGTCAATTATCAGTAGGGACCAACTGAATTTGCAATTTTGTGGATTTCGCAGATTCCACAGAATCCGGGCAATGCCTGTGGAATCTGCAAAATCCATGGGGAAAAAAACCTACACCAAAAATAAAATGCAGGTTCCCCAGATGAAGCTAGCAGTCCTTAACCTGTTACAGCAGTCTGCTGGGATGGGTAAGGGAAAAGGGACCTGCCCACTTAAAGGGCTGCTCACAAGATGGCTGCCACCCCCACCACTGATTGGCTGTGAGGGCTGCCTGTCATTTGGCCCTGCCCCTCTCCACCAATCAGCAGCAAGGGTCAGGGCCACATGACAGGCAGCCCCCACAGCCAATCAGCAGAGAAGGGCAGGGCCACTGGGGCACATTGGCCAAGCAGAGGCATGGGGGTCCTGCTGTGCTCTGCCCACGAAATGGCTGCTGGGGGCAGCCCCTGTAAATTAGGTAGATCCCTAATCTATAAAACCTCTTTGCTTTCCTGATTGTTTGGGGAGGGATTGCCTTTGGGAATTGTGTTCTTGTGTTTGTAACACAGGCCCCAGCAGATGTTACACTTAAGATGTGATTAATTGGTTAAGTAGTCGTAAGTCGTGACCTGGCCACATATTCTTTCAATTAAAGGCACGATAAGAAGAAGAATAACTATGTGTAATAACGTTGTGGCTCGTTTCTATTATGCCTTTAATTGAATATGTGACCAGTGCTCCCAGCCTTTGGAGTACACAGGAGCCTTTCAAGACTCCCATGTGCTCCCGCAGCTGGAAGTATCCCTCAGCTGGTCAGAGTTCCCAGCCAAGAGAGTGCACCATGCACTAGCTGGGAGCCAGGCTTGCTACTTGCCAGTAAAGGGGGAGCCCAGGACAGGCAATATAATAACAGATGATAGAACAAGAAGCAATGGTCTCAAGTCACAGCAAGGGAAGTTTAGCTTAGATATTAGGAAAAGCTTTCTCACAAGGAGGGTAGTAAAACTTTGGAAGAGGTTACCCAGAGAGATGGTGGACTCTTCATCCTTGGAGGCTTTTACGACCTGACTAGACAGAGCCTTGGCTGGGATGATCTACTTGGGAACAGTCCTGTTTTGAGCAGGGGGTTGGACTAGATGACCTGAGGTCCCTTCCAACCCTAATTTTCTTTGTTTCTATGAATAGGGGGCAATGGGATCTGATGCAGGATCTCACAGTCATGACTCCTGCTAGGTCTGTATGTCATGGCAGGAAGTGCAATTGTTGGGATCCCATGTCAAATCCCATTGCACCTCTACTTTAATATCTGAGGGGCCACAGGAAAATAAAACAAAAACATGCTTTCCACATCAGCAAGAGAACTTAAATCACTTTTCTAAAGGTATTTGATAATGAATAATTTTATCTCACAAAACATTGAACATTGTATCTTGAGTTGCTGCTAGTTTTAACAGTGGCCTCCTATAGGGGCATTAGTGATTTGATTACAGTGATCATAATAAAGGCTCATAATCATAGGCCCTCCATGAAACCAGTGTCAGGGACCTAACCCTTATTGTTTGATCAATCCCCCCACTCATAAGAACAGACTCAGGAATTTTCATTTGTTTGTTTTGGAATGTGTTGAACTGTTTCGTCTTTTGTTTTCATGAGCCAAAGTATGAAGTGGAAATAAATCCTTTGAAAAGAATCATAAGTTAGCAATTATCTACCATAACTTATCATCTGGGGTCAGAACTACTTCCCCTGTTTCCCTTGAACTCTCTTGACTAGGGATATTTTCATGCAATGTGCTTCAAGTTGTTTAAGTATTTTAGTATTCACAAGCCTTTGCCCTTTTGATCACACACCATTTTATCAGAATATTCTGATTTGATTTTAATCCCTTGTTTGAACTCAGTGTTACATTCCAGACTGTTGTTCTCCCTTGAAGAAATGTCACTGATAAATTAAAGCCCATCCTCTCTCTTTCCTTAAACAAACTGTTTATACTCTTCATATGAATATATGAAATCAAATAATCTGCCACAAAAGCTTATTTAATTAAATATCTAGGAGATAAATGCATTGCACACAACTTCTAAGGACATTGGAAAAACCATACTGAGTCACATCTAGCCCAGTATTTTTGTATCTCTCAGGGCAGAAATACATATCACCTGATGTCACATTTGTTCCAGCGACACAAATGGTGAGGAAATCCTTTGTCACACCAGATCAAAATATTGCCACTATTATTCATGTACAATAGTGTAAAATAGTGCTACTTTATTGCAGCAGACATCTCTTTGCTCTGTGGTGGGAGACTGCAGGCAGCCTGGAGCTGCCTGCGCTCTCCAGCCCTCCAAGGCAGGTGCTCCAAGGGATTGAGGGGCCTGATCCTGAACACCCTAGGAATTCTTATGCAGGATCAGGCCCCTCAAACCAATCCCAGGAGAGCCTTTCAAGCACAGGCACAGGTTGGCATAAGTCCCAGCAAGGAAATGCAGGGCAGGATAGAACCCAGGGAATTTTCACTGCCTTATGCCTCCACACCAAGGTGTAGTTACCCAATGCCTCCACATGCATCGCAGGCTGTCATTGGACCCAACACGCGCCCCAGCCTGGAGGCACAGAGCTCTGGAGATTCCCTGAGTTCTGTGTCACCTTGTGTTGACCCACGCCTCCGCAGGATCTAGCACAAGAATCCTGGCAAGGAGGCATGGGACAGCTAGGGAAACCCCAGGCAAAGGGAACACATTGTCTGTTGTCCTGCATTGGACCCTTGCCCAATGCACAGCAGTGGATGGCATGTGTTTCGCCCAATAAAGTGGATCATCTGTGGCAAACACAGCTGAGCCACTTTGTTTGTGGCAATGTCTGTTTTTATCCTCAGGGGCAGAGTGGATGCTAAAAGAAAGAGGCTTTGCATAAGATCTATCCAGGTAGACCTGACCCCTCACACCCCACCTACCCTACACGTTCTAGCTTTCAGAAGACTATGACTTAATTTTGGAGTTTGAACCCATTCTTGCTTGCTCTGAAATGCTAGGTCAATGTCATTATACTCTACTTTACATCCCTGCTAATGATAGAGGAAGGAGGACCTGATTAAGAGAATGAATGGTTAGTCCAGATTCTTGTATCTATTTGTGACACAAGATGTGTCACAATGGATTTGTTGTATCCATTTGTGACATAAGATGTTAGACAAGTGCTTATATTTTTAAAAGATTCTTTCCACTTCTTTTTTCTTTTAGGTATGCAAAGATTTTTTTTTCTGTAGACCTATGGCAGTGGCATTAAGCATTTACATATCAGTGAGTCTTTGGGGATTTTCAGTCTGAAATAAAATATTTCTTTTATTTAAAAATAAGCATGAGTTGTTGTTATTTACTTATATTACTAATTACTGTAGAACCTAGGGGTGCCTATACATGAGCACCAAGGCTGCTCCAACATGCTGTAGTTGCCATAGTCCAGCAGCCTCCTGCATCTCGTGTATCAGCATTCCCATATTTTAAAACGGCAGCAGGGGCACTTGAACTAAAGCTCATCAAACAAGCTTTAGTTCAAGCACCTCTGCCACCATTTTTTAGCTCGGGGACACTGATACAGGAGACACAGCGGTGCTTCCATTAAAGTGGCTGTCAGAGCCGTTCTAATTAAAGTGCCATCCCCCGCCCACTCTGGGGGCACATGTACAAGTGCCCTAAGAGCTAAGGCCTGTACAAACAGAAAAAAATGAAGCGTCCTTACTGCAAAAACCTAACAATATAAAAAGTAGAGACAACAGGTGAAAATGCACCTATGAAAGAATATGGAGAAATAGTGAAAAATACAGATCAGTTTCATATACCCTGGTCTCCGCGCATCAGGAGCCTCACAAATTGTCCATGGGCTTCATGGCAAAGGGAGGTCAGGGTAGGGGAGAGGTATTAAGGAAGAATTTAAAGGATGATCATGATGCAGGTTTTCAGATATTTATGTGGGGGAGTGTTCCTTCCCAGGTTATGCTACAGCATTAATATAAGCAAGAAAATAAGGTAATTTTATATATCTAATAAAATAAATTCACATCCTATTTTTGTGCATTTTACTTGAATTTTACTTTCTCAGTAGATCTTGATACAAAACACAAGTTTAAAAAAAATCTGGAAAAATGGTGTATCATTCACATTTCTAAGGCCTCTGGCAGATAACCAATTAATGGTGAGATGCAATCTGATCCATGACCCCAACAACCAGGCCTCCTTCCACATGCTATATGACTGCTTCCAAGATGGGAACAATAAAAGGAGAAAACTTGGGTTTTCTTTTCCAACTTGCTGATGGATTTCTCCTTCTCCTCCCCCTCCACTAACTGGAGCTTAATTCACCTGCCTGGTTGTGTCTGATGTCTCTAGTTTTCAGCTGAGGCTGAGCTGCAATCAGTTCATGTGTCAGAGAAGCCAGGTGGGTGGGAAGAATGTCTCATTGAGACAACACCATTGTGCTCTTCTGATCCTGGTATGGGTCTGTCCCATGTCATTGTTACCCTTCTTTTACTGTCAGAGAGAACTTTTCAAAATGCAATTTGAGCTTGCCCAATGGAGTGACGGGCAGATATTGCATCCATCTTAGGAATGTGAGCGAGACTGTCTTGAACATGCTAAGTGGGGACATGGTGATAGATGGCAGCCATGTTAGGTGTACCACGTATGTCCAGTGAAAAAAATATGACCCTAGCACCAGCATCTGTAAGTATAGAAAAGTTAGGGTTTGAATTATGGGGGAGCTGAGGGGGGCACTCTCCCGCCCCCATAAGAGATGAGAACCCCCCCCACCCCCAGTAAGATTTGAAAGTCATAACCTAGGGAGGTATACAATTTTATTAGGGCATCTCAACTGTACATGGGCAGCTCAATTTTTTTTTGCAGATCCCCCCACCCCCCAAGAGTCAAAGTGTCATTCAGAACCCTGAGAAAAGTTCAGGATAGACTCAGTTCTGCTGGAAGCCTCTGTAAAGAAGGAAGCAGCTTTCTACCAGACCGTGACCACAGCAGAAAGTTTTTCTCGTCACTCTTTACTGTTTATAGGGCAATACAACCTAAAACCAGAGTGGAGGGATCTAGGAAAAGCTACTTTTCCTGTTTCTCTTTCATGGACTTATAGTACTAGGGTTTCTCAAGGACTGTGCATCACTGGTTTATGGTGTGTCCTCCACTGAGGAACAATATAGTGTATTTCTTGAGATTCTCAATATTTTTTGTACAGTTTTCATTTATTACTTGTTACCCAGTGATTTTTTTTTTAGTAAAAGGAGTTGATAGTTTTGTGCAAGAGGTGACGATATCTTGTATTGGTCCAACTGTATAGTTGGGGTGGAGTTAAACAGGCTCTCAAATGCAAGGCATTCATCATCAGATCATAATCAGCAGAATCAGGTAATATTTTTAGATGCTTTCTTGTTTCATTATCGCTCACTAAGGAACATTAATTACAAGTGCTTAATGATAGATGCTACTGGTCTATATGGTAAACCCAGAGGGATTGTGCATTCTGCAAACCCTTATATCTACACAGACCTGTTATAAAGGTGGTTCCCCTCTGTGCCTGCCAAGTTGATGTTATCTTTAGAACAAGATGTAGCAGTCCATGTTTGACTCTGGAAGTCTCTGATTCCAATCTCCATGTATCAGACAAAGTGTCAGTCAACCAGACTTGCACCAGCTGGCAGCAGCCCTTAAGGAAATGTTCCATTTCCGAGGCATTGCCAAAATACCATGGTGCACCAAGCAAACCTTTCCCAGACCCACCTCCTCACTGTGTCCTTGAGAGGGAGGGGTGACATATAATTTGTGTAGTTGTCTTTTGCCTGGGTATTCTCCCATGCCGGACCAATCGTCCAAGATGATAAAGTACTTAAAATATATATTTAAGTCAATGTGATATCTTTATTTTAAAACCTGAGGAACATAAAGGTGTGGGTTAATTAGCTCTGCTCTTCTTACTTTGTATGAACTGATCACCAGCTTCCCACAGAAAATATTTGACCTACATAGTAGACGTCTTCTTTAATACCTCACCTACCACCTACAGTAGTTCCATTATAATTAGAGATGTGTAAAAACAAGGGCTAGTTTTACAAATCCTTACAAGTCAGGTTTTGGTCTTGCAAAGATATGCAACCTAGGATTCGTAAGCCATCATTGAGTGATTGCATTTTGTTGACATCTGTTTTCTTCTGTGGGATATGCAATTTGTAAGTGATGGGTCAATATCAAGATATTTATTTCATCATCCAGGAAAATAAACACAAGCAAGTAGTAACAAGGCTGCTTTCATTTTTTGTTTCCTCTAAGAGCTAAAAAACTAGAACAGGAAGAACCACTGTTAGGTGACTGACCACTATTAGGACACCACCCCAACTGACAACTGTTGGGATACCACCTCCTTTTACTCTTCAGACTGCCACTACAGATTTGCCTGTTCACTGGTGTCTACGGAGCACTACCAACTGAAAAAACCCCTAGAAAGTAGGCAAGTGACTACTAATTTCAGTGTAAAATGGCTCATTCTTCCACCCCAGTCTCTGGTCTGTTCCCTGTTGTATTTTGTCATTATTGTGGATTATGAACCTGTAGGGCAGAAACCATTACTTTTGTTTATACATCGTCTGACACAGTTAGAACTCTGATACTTGATTGGGCCTATAGATATAAGGGTCATGTAAATAAGAAATTATCATAATGGTGGCTTACTTGCTGCCGTAACTTCTGCATCTTACTGAGGCACTTGAGTAAGGAGGACTGTATTCTTTCTTTTCTGTTAAATATCAGTAGCAGCAAAAAGATTTCTGAAAAATGTCACGGGAGAAACGTTTGTTATTTCTTGTCCCTACTGAAGTGTGGTAAAAGAATTTTTCTTATACAATGGGAAAAGTGATTTCTGCTCTTTCGTTTACATAACCAGGATATCTGGCACGTGAAAATGAAGGTGTTTCTTTCTAACTTTCTTTCTGAAGCAGAGTTCTTCTTTAAGAAAAATAGAAAATAAAATCTAAAAGGTGGGGATCTAAAAGCTGTTGCTATTCGAGTCCAAGAGCTCTTGCTGGAAGCTAACATGCTCTCTTAACATTGGCAGTTGGTCACCTGCTAACATGAATTATAATTAATCGGTATCCTTGTCTTTTGTACTTTGCCTCAGATGTGCAAGATGCAAATGGGAATTCTTTTCACATCTGAAATAGCTGTGTAATTTAACTGCATATTTCCACACTGTTTTATTTGTTTGAAATGAAAAGTCTAATATTCAAAGGAGATATTAAAATGCTTTGCAATTCTTCATACAGGGAACCTTGACAAACACATAGAATTAGAAAACCTGGTGGCCCAGTTTCTTGGTGTGGAAGATGCCCTGGTGTTTGGCATGGGCTTTGCTACTAACTCTATGAACATCCCAGCTCTGGTTGGGAGGGTGAGTATATCTTAAAGAATATGCAGAGCTATTGTCTCTTAGTTATCTCATCTGCAATCATAGTATTTCATGCTGTCGTTAAAGAAATTTAGCCAAAGCATAAAATTAAATACCAAGATCTTCTGAGTTACAGGATAATGATCACCATAACCCTGGGCATGCCATTTCGTCATTCTATCTCTCTATCCAGCAATAGTGGTTATTGCTATGGCACCTGTCACCATGATATTTAAGGGCTCAGCTTACTCTTCTCTAAAATATGCATTCTGATTGCCTCCCATGTCACTGTGAGGTTGTGAGGTTTAAATGGTAGGACTGATTTTCTCTCACTGACATAGATATAAGTTGGAACAACCTGACATGGAACTACACCAACATAAAAACAGATGCAAGAGAAAATGAGGCTCAGTTTTTGTATGGAAGTGAGAAATGTCATTGCCTGTATTTGTATGACACAGATCTCAAACCAAGAACATTACAAAGAAAGTCCAAAATTTAGAATATTTTACAAAGATTGTCTGATAATGGTTTGATATACAACAGTGTGTTCTGGCTGTCAGCACATGATACTGGTCCCCACTTTTGATTTGGATATGATTGAGAACAACACCCTGTATCCCTTTTTGGAGCAGATAGAACATGCAGGGCACATCTACATGTGCATTAAAGTGATTTATCTAATGCACATTAAATTTAGTACCTCCACTAAAGAAATGCACATTAAGCTGCCTTAATGTGCAGTAATGAACGTGCATGGTTTTTAAGTGACGCTTAATGCACAGTAGCCTATTTTTCCTGCACATTAGTATAATTGCATGACTATCCTATATTACAGAGATTTCTCTTTTAATTTACCTCCAAAATCAAAAGTTGTGGCTGTACATTCCTGCTGAACTCAGCCTGACTTCTCTGTGCAGAGCCCAAAGTAGTTTACAGCCCTTAAATCTATGAAATGCTTCTCCACCTCTATTTAATTAATCTGAATTTCCAAAACAAATATTTACCTAATGCTGCTTTTGCACTGTGGTCATGTAACAAAAGGCCACACCATAATGCCAACAATGAAAGCAGAACCAAGTTAGAGTTCCATTTTTGAATCAGAAAACTCCATTTATGGCTCTTGCTAATATAATATAGGAGGCAATTTTAATTTTTCATGCAGTATTTGGGGATTTTGAAAGGAAATAAGTATTTCACTAGTTGTTAATTATAAAAATTGCTGGAGATGAAAAGTATGTGTGCACATGTATGTACATATGTGTACGAGATGAAAAGTACTTATCACATGCACATCTGTTCCTATGTGTACCAAAGACCAATTCATTCTCCCCTGTGCCCAAGTTCTGCTCAGGCACATAAGAGGTGGAATGCTGGTATACATAAATACACCTCCTCCGCAGATCCCAGTATAAATTTTAAAAAACCTAATGAACAGTAGTTTATTTCCTCACTGGGATCTGGCCTGTCTGGGATTTTACACCAGGTGCATCTCACCCACAGCACACCAAGAAGTGGAGGCCACTCGTATAGGAGCCAGCTCCACTGAATTTACAATAGTAAGAAATTACTTTCCCCCCTTGTAAGTCACTTCTGGCTACTTGCAGAGAGTATTGAGCACCTTTGCACTACCTGAGAACATGCAAGAATCTGATGCCGAGATCTACATATGTGCGTGACACAGAACGTGGAGTGCAAGCATCCCCAAATTCAGGAAATGTTCCATTTCACATTTAAGCTTTGCAGGTTAGTCAGTCATGTGATATACACCTGGGATTCTGAAAATTCTGTAATTCTTCTCCACAGGGATGCCTCATTTTAAGTGATGAGTTGAACCACACATCTCTTGTTCTTGGTGCAAGACTTTCAGGTGCCACCATCAGAATCTTCAAACACAATAGTGAGTATTGAAGCTGGCGATGTTTAGAGGCTGAGATGTTCCAGCCACATAAGACTGTTTACTCTTTATGCCTGTTTTGCCGTCACTTACTTAGCAGAACATCTTGTTGAAAATAAAATGGTTAGCCCTTCCAAGCTGTATGTGAATTCTGGAGGGGGGAAATTAAATACATATAATGATAGCTGCTCAAACAAAAACCATATCCAGTGCCAGACTGGGGCTTAATTATACAGAACTGCTCTAATATTTTCTCCCCATACCCCATGCTTGTAGTTTGCTGGACACTTCTGGAATTTTTTTTTTAAATAAGATGATGATAGAAAATCTGCACCAAAAAGTGCTCAGCATTGGCTCACTTCTCTTTCCACCAAGGTCAGTACAAACCAGTATGCTAACTCTGAGCACTTGGGAGGGGACTTGCGCCCTAAACTCCTGCCACGCTGTTTTAGATGTTTAGTTGGCTGTGATAGAAGTTTCTTCCTAAACATTCATCAAAATAGAATGTATTAATACATGGGTCAAAAAACAAAATAATATCCTCACAGCTTATCTCTAATAATGAAAAACCATTACTAGTTTGTGATTCACTCCAATGAGATCTTCAGTTGTTATGACAAGTGATTTCAGACCCCATATTCAGACAGAACATGCTGTTGTAGGAAAAATAAGGTAGATGACTTAAGACCACAAATAATGATTTGTTTTTGGAAGCATTAAAAAAGGAAATAGATCTATTAATGGGAAATTTTAAATACTGAGCTAATAAAGGAAGGGGGGGAAGTCACTATCAACAAAATCTGGCTTATTTTTAACACTTCAGAGCCTGTCTAATACTCGTTTGGTGTATTTGCATTACTTGCTCTAAGAATAAGGGCCAAAAATCAACATTAAAACAAAAATGAGAGTTCTATTTTACACCATTTTATCTTTTCTTTTATGCCATAATACACTATATTCTATTTTGATTTTTGTCAGCTGGTAGAATGGATAATCTTACTGCATGTTCTCAGCAAAAATTTTATATACTTTTTATTGCCTGTTTAATGTTTTGTGTTGGCAAAATCTGTTTAAAAAAAAAACAACCCAAAAACTACTACTACACTACTTGTTTAGGAGTTGGGAGCTAAATGCACATTCCCAAAATAGACACCTCCTTGAAGTGCTGATAGTGTAGCACTGATAGCTATGCAACACATTAACTCTGTAGGTATATAGTAGACTATAACATGTTATCATCGTTTAGCTTACTTAATGGTGTGTACATAGCCAGATAGGTGTTATTCCCTGTCTGTCATTTACTAGAACCCACATAACTGCATTCCAACCCAGCTAATTTAATTCTGTTTCCCATAAGATTTCAAAGAGGCGTTTCTTCAGGGAATGTGCATTCAGCTCACAACACCTAGACAAGCAGTGAAGATGCCACTTTGGTTTCTGACCCATATATGGATACATTCTTCCTTTGACCACTCTGACCACTGAGTAGCTAGTGAACAACCACCAGGAAGCATTCCTTCTCCCCTGCGTGGCAAGCAAATGTCTAATCAGCTGGTGGTGGGTTTGTGATAAATCATAGTTGATAGTCTTTGTAAATAATGTGGAGTAAAACAAAAAGGCAGTAGCTAACTAGACTAGCACACGCAAACATGCAAATAGAAAATGTAGAAAATTCCTTTAGGCACCTCAGCAAACATCAGTGACAGCTCATCAGGGCAGTTTCTGTAAAACTCATTGTTCCTTATGTTTGGGGTTTGATTCACCAAAGCCAATCTAGTTGTATCTGATAGCAGGCTATCTCAAATAGTTTAAGGCTTATCACTCTTTCTAGTTAGACAATAAGTTTCATAAAGGAACTGCAGGAATCTTTTGAAGCCCTCCTACAGTTTGAGTATCAGCTGTTCCAATTCCTTGCCATCATCCATCCTCCTTATTATCTCCTAATAATTGGCCCCCGTTTGATCATTTGCTATTATATGCACTGCCCTGAGAGTGGCAGATTAATTATACTGTTCTGTAGGTACATAGATCTCCAGTAACTTAATCAAGGGGGAATGACAGGGGCAGCAACCCCAGGCACCACCTTACAGGGGTGACGGGTCATGTTTAAAAGCAGCTGCTACTGCCACAGTGGCAGCTGACCGCATTTCAGCAATTGGCATGGTAGAAGCCAGCACTGCTCCATGCGTCAGCAAATGCCCCAGGTGCTTACTTGCCCTGCTACACTTCAGAAGCTCTCTGTTTATCTACCTTAGAGATGTAGGGCCAGATCCTATTAACCTTGGGTGTCAAAGTAGCACTTCAGCTTCTGAATAAGATACTATCACACCTATTCAAGTCTCTGAAAATCTAGTAACGTGGACTTTTGTAACACACTTTCATCTCAGCCTACAAACCAAGTTGCAGCAAGGAAACAGTCACCTGTTTGTTTGTTTCTTTCCAGGGACTTAAGTAGGGTAGAATAAATAGTCTTAGACACTTGTGCAGACTTGTGCAGAAGTTTGAACCTATGGCTTCAAGTTGTCTAGACATACAAAGACTGAGTTCCAAATTCCCAAAACACTTATGTTTGTATTGACTTCAGCAGTACTACTCATTTGCTTCCAATGATGCATCCACTTATGTGCTTTGCTGGATCAAGATCTTGCTGCTTAGGCTGCCAGGCCACCTGTTCCCCAAAAAATGTGAGACCTTGCTATGGCTTGCATTCACTTGTTTAGAAATAGGGAACTAATCAATCCAAGTCACACTGCAGGGGGTTTGGGTAGACTTCTGCATGCTGTACTGCCTCTGCGGATAAACAACAAAAAAATACCACAAACAATTTTGTTATCAAGTATCAAGTACAGTATATTCAAGACAAAAGGCATAACTAGCAATTTTCCTATCCTGGGCAGAGAAGCCCAGAGAGAGGGGCGGGAGGGGGTGTTGCACTAAGCACCAGAGACTCTCATCTGACTCTGAAAACACAAACACAGGAGTTGTTGTCACATGTGAGCTCCCCACATATTGGTTGCTGTTCTCATCATGCAGGTTCCCCACACACAGGCATCTGCTGCTGCCCCGTGCAAGGTCCATCATTCTGATGCCCCTTTTAGGTCAGCAATCGGGGCTGATACCCCATTTGCCCACCCCTAGTTATCCCACTGATTCAAGAGTTTTCATAAGCGTTAATTCACTCAGAAATTGTAATATTTTTTGTTGCTCAGCTGGAGATAAGTGATGGAGGGCGCAGGGACCGATTTATGTTGTGGCTGATGTATCAAAACAAACAGCCCTCAGGAAAGGGTGCGATCACTGCCTGCCATATTTAGAGCACTTTTATAAGCCTTCCAGTGAAGAGATGGACTAGTTCACCAAGAAACTGCCAGAGCAAACAGTCGAACTGAAGCCAGCCAGGGAGTTCTGAGAGATGCTAAGACTAGGCCAGGAAGGTAAACAGGAATGGGTTGTAAAAAGGTGCTTCAAAAAGTCACTCCTAACACATGACATTGGAGCCAAATTCTCTGCAGGTATAACTTGACTCAACTCCAGCAGGTGCCACATTGAAGAACTAACTTTTTGTGCCTGGCATTGTGCCAAGTTACATCAATGAACAGTTTGACCTATTATTACCCCACTGTAAATGTAGCACTTAGGGTCAAAGGCCTTATAGTCAGCTCCCTTGTGACTAAAACATACTTTCTCTACTGTAAATAATGTTAATTGCTGGCTATGAGAATTAATTATCAAGTTGGGGGCGGGAGAATTATACTATGGTGGGATGTTTCCTGGACCACATACTTCCTGAATAAGGTTGAGAAAACATGAACAAGGAGTGTTGAGTATCCACCCTCTTTGTCAAGAATCATGTTATATAAATAGTGAAGTAAATAAGGGCACTGACTACACCTTTCCCCCAAATAAGAAAAAGCAAAAAGGTCATGCTTTCTGAGAAATGAATGTCCTCCCTCCTCCTCCACAATTACTGGAATATCAAATGCTTTAAAAGCTGAAGACTGATTGGTAACAGCAATGTTTAGTTTAGATACTGTGCATGTACAATCCTGAACTTAGTTGGATTTAAACAACCCACAGAACAAACATGGACAGATGTAGACTTCTAACTACTAACATGTAATCCTTTCCCCTTTGCTATTATGTTTTAATCTACAGACTTATTTGGGAGATAGAGGGTACATGCAGACATTACACTTAGATCAACCAAACCCTAGTTAGAGTGATTTAAGTGGTGAACTGTGCATACTTTTGGAGGAACTTAGATCAGGCAAAAAAAAATGGCTGGCCTGATCTAAACTTAATTTACCTAAGTAACCCACGCCTAAGCTAACTGAAGGTGGTACATTTTTCCCTCCACTCCCCCCAAACCCTGACCAAGCTAATTTTAGCCACCTGACACTCCTACCCCCAGAAATCGCCCCAATACCACCAAACCCTCCAGCCGGCAGACCCACTGATTCCCCCCTCCCCAATCGCACCCACCGCTTAAGCCTCTTCCCCCACCCCATCTTACTTAAATCGTGTTCCTGATGCAGCAATTAGTACTGGCAGTTGTGTGAACAAGTGGGACCTGATCTACAATCACATGGCTTAAAGCAAGACACATGATCATAGATCAGTTCCTGGAAACATCTGCATGTGCCTACAGAACCATACAAACAATCTATCCTGGAGAATGTTAGGGAAACAAATTTGAAGCTGGTGATCCCCTCCCATTCAACCCTAAAACAGATGATGTCCTGCCACAGTGGTTCCACCTGCATCTGGATCCTTTAAAATTATTTGGGGTAGTCTAAATACAGAGTTTCATGAACGCTTTGTGCTGCTAAGAATGGATGGGAGTTTCAGTGGTCTTCCAGTTCCACTTGTAAATGCAGCTGAAGGAATGTTAGAGTCACTGAAGAGCCTATGCATAAAAGGATGCATCCAGATATGTGCATGCATGGTTTGCGGCACCTAAAAGCTGTTTGAGGTGCTGCAAACTGCATGTGGCCTATATGCAC